CCGTTTTTGGGTACCTATAGGGAGGGGCGCGTAAGAAATCGCGGAAGGCGCGAGATCGCAGTCAGTACGGTTTTGACCGGCAACTAATTGCCAGCTAGTTAAGCCTCGCGACAAGAACCAGTGTTTGTGCAGTTGATTGTCATCGAGCGACCATCATCAAGGAGGAAGACCAGCTACATCCAGAATCCCGCCTTTCGAGGACGACATCGTTGGCCCAGAGGACGCGGACTTCCGCAGCAGCGCTCCCTCCCAAGGTCAGGTACCCTTTTTGTTTCTCGGTGCGTGCCTCGATTTCTCTCTCTCCGATTATCGTATGGCCGGACGCGGACGAGCGGTTGCATGCGTGAACTCGCATCGCCCTCGCGGAATTCGCGGGACAAGTTGTAAGGTGATGTTCTGTCTCCTGTGCGTTAATTCGCACGGAACGAACTTAGCCCGGACTCGGCCGACGCACACGTCAAACGCCATATGTACGTTATAGTTGTAATAAAGAGTAAAATAGTTGAACTGATGAGTTTATTCTGTTTAAACCTGTTTCTCTTGTAATTAGTTAAATTGCGATTATCGATATTACCGGACGACATAGCCCTCGTTAAATTTTCGCGACGAAGCGAATGCGCCTTCCGAGCCTTTTCCCTTAAATAATTTGTGACGCAACGTTGTTCGGGCTTAAATTATTAACGTACGTGTTACAAGTTCTAAGGATAATATTTTTAATTTCAAGCATAGTAAATAATTAAAGTAAATAATTAGTCATTATAGTATTAGCATAGTAAATAATTAGTCATTATATTGGCTTAAAAAATATATTTGGAATATAACATTTCATGAATCAATTTTCTTAATTTGATTTTGATGTTTCAATTAATATTGTATATTATGATAATTTTATTTTCTAAGTCTTACACTTTTATATTATTTAAAATAAATTTATTTACAACAATGAGTTTTTAATGGGTAATATCACGATGTCACAAAACATGAGATCGGGATTATGTGAACGTCAGAAAACAGATGTATGCAGATATGCATTTAATTTGAACCACTCTGATATCAAAATAAAACTTGAGAAAAATTAGAGCGCGCGAAGCGCGCTGTCTAATTCTAGTATATCAAGTTCCTCATACAATTGTATGTGTGAAAAAACGCTGCACTCGCTCTTTCGACTCTTTTGTAAGAGAATAATTATTGATAAATTCAACCGAAGGAATTTCGCAATAGTCTCTATATTATTTAGTTTCGTATTCTTTTCCTAACATCTATATGCATGATCGTTTATTCAGAAAAAAAATCTTTAAGTTAAGGAATCCGTAACTTTAATGGATAAAATTGTTACCAATTGTCAAAAATAACTTTTATTCAGTACTATATTGATTTTAAAGATCACAAATTGTGTACATCCATTTGCAAATATTAAAAAAAATTACAAAAGCGATGTAGTAGCACGCCACAACAATCCACCTGGACCTTTTAAAAAAAAAAGTATAGCTTATAACTTTTGAAAACACCGTAGTATCTATGTTTTTAATACACTTCGATAGATACCCGAACACACACACACACACACACACACACACACACACACACACACACACACACACACACACACACACACACACACACACACACACACACACACACACACACACACACACACACACACACACACACACACACACACACACACACACACACACACACACACACACACACACACACACACACACACACACACACACACACACAAACACACACACACACACACACACACTCTGCAGGAGTTGAAATCGGCCAGTGGCAGACTAGGCAACAAGAAGGCTCCCGGACCAGACGGTATACCGAACATCGCCCTAAAAAAGGCGATAAAAATAGCGCCAGACATGTTCCTCCACATGTACAACAGGTGTATCCAAGAGAGCTACTTTCCGGCTCAATGGAAGCTGCAGAGACTTGTCCTCCTTCTGAAAGGGAAAAAGCCACCGGACGAACCAACAGCTTACCGTCCTCTCTGCATGCTTGACTCGATGGGAAAGATCCTTGAAACGATCATCTACAGGAGAATCGAGGTGATAACTGAAACACACCTCTCCGACAGGCAATTCGGATTCCGGAAAGGAAGGTCAACTGTCGATGCTATCAAATTAGTAGTTGACACTGCCAGAAATGCAATTTCTGGAGAACGATGGAAGAACGGCGACAAAAACTACTGCGCAGTAGTGACGCTTGACATGAAGAATGCCTTCAATTCTGCAAAGTGGGACAAAATCCTAGAAGCCTTGGAACGGATGAAAGTCCCTCTATATTTGCAGAAACTGATAGTCAGCTACTTCACTGACAGAATTCTGCAGTATGACACGGAGAGTGGGCCCAGGGAATACAAGATCAGTGGAGGAGTGCCCCAAGTTTCAGTTCTGGGACCACTGTTATGGATCATTATGTACAATGGCCTCCTCAACCTGAAAATACCAAGAATGATAACAACTGCGGCATTTGCAGACGATATTGCTCTCGTGATCATACGCAAGTACATAGAAGACATCCAGAACCTATTCAAGAAGACTTTCAGCATATACACTCCCTGGATGGACGACTCAGGACTGAAGATAGCAAAACACAAGACAGAGGCTGTACTTATAAGCAGTAGGAAAAAACGCGAAACGCTGAAGCTACAAGTAGGTGACTGCAAAATAAAATCGCAACCATCCGTCCGATACCTTGGGGTAATGATAGACGCCCGGCTCTGCTTCAAGAATCAGGTCGAACACACTAGCAAAAAGGCATCAGCAGTTGGAGGAGCACTGAGCAGACTCATGCCGAACCTCGGTGGGCCAAAACCCAGACGAAGGGCTCTTCTTTCGTCAGTGGTCATGTCAATACTGACATATGGAATTGTCATATGGGGTAGTGCACTACAGCTTCAAGAGTGCCAGAGACGAATATACCTGGTATGTCGGCAAATGGCACTGAGGATCGCGAGTGGATTCAGGACCGTCTCCAGAGACGCCGCACACGTGATATCCGGTCTGCTTCCTATCGAGATCTTGGCCGAGGAACAAAGAAGGATATACCGCCACCGGTACAGTAGAGTAGCAGATATAGATGACTGCAGAAAGAGAGAAAGGCAGAAAAGCCTCCAGTGCTGGCAAGCGCAGTGGGATAGCTCGGGCAAGGGCAGGTGGACCCATGAGCTCATCCCAAATCTGGCGGAATGGGTTAATCGCCAACATGGGGATCTCAACTACTACCTGACACAGATGCTCACTGGACACGGATGCTTCCGCAAATACTTGTACAAGTACAAGCATGAGGACTCACCAGAATGTCCAAGATGTCATGGAATAGAGGAGGACGCACGGCACGTGTTCTTCACGAGCCCTAGATTTGGAAACTAACGACGACAGCTTGAGAGCACAATAGACGCGGCGATCATGCCATGCAACCTCGCACAGAAGATGCTTGCATCGTAGGAGGCTTGGAACGCCACAACAGACCTTGCTAAAGAGGTGATAACGCAACTTCGGAAAGAATAGAAAGAGAAGAGAAATAGTAGGAGTGTAGGGCGCCAGACTGTAGAACAGTTAGCTTCCCTCATTGATGCAGAGGAACGTATGTGATTGGGTCGAGCCCAGTATCCTCCATCTGATGCAGAGGAACGTAGGCTCTGGTGTCGAGACTATCTATAGGATAACAAGGCACCAGAAATGCTCCCCTGCCCTAGCAGGTCAGCGAAGGCAATCGGGTTGAGCTCAGGCTCACTTTCCCGACGCAGAAGAACGTAGGGTGTCGAGGGCGAGCCTGTCCAGAGGATGACCGGACGATGCAGCAAGAAGAAGACGACCGGACGATGCCGAAAGAAGAAGACGATCGGATGCAGTAAGAAGATGATAATAGAGGAAGGAAAAGCAGCCTATCCTGAACCTCCAAGCAACTAACAGTGATTGGAGGACGTAGGGAAGGACAACAAGAAAGAAGAACTAATCAGCTAATGCCTTCCCTGTGAAGTAATGCCTAGCGGCGGTTCCGCGGGGGATTAAAAAAAAAAAAAAAAAAAAAAAGGATCAGTCGACAGAGGACTTTGGACTACGGTCCCACCGTCAATCGGAACGGAGGGACCGTAGAACAAAGAGGGTTTTAGCCTACAGAGCACACGGCGGTGGTGGACGTGGGGAGATCGGGGAGGTGAACGCTCACGCGGTCACGTCCTAGACCCACCTCATAGCCAAAATAAATAGAAAACTAATTATTTTGTTTTAATTGAAAATCCACGCGAAAAGCTTCTTTAAAACAAGGCAAATCTTTCAAATAACTAAAATTTTTACCTTTTGAATGGATAAGCGTGTTAAGAAAAAACAACGCTGTATTTTAAAATGCAAAAAAGTATACCGTTGTTATGGTGTTCCATTAAACCGGTTCTACAATTTTTTCTTATGAATCTTAATATTTCAAAGTTGATACACATATTCTTAGAATCTTTAAATTTCATTTTCATCAATCTTTCATTTTTAACAATTCATAATAGAGTTTTATTCATCGAAGTTACGTATTTCTTAACTTTTCAGATTTTGAATGTGTTCTGAATGAAAAAAAACATCGATTTTTGATAAATATTAGAAGAAAGTAGAAGTCATGCAACATTTGTCAATGCTTAAGTTGAGTGAGAGCCCTTACATAGAAGAGAACGTCATTAATAATACTTTTTTGATTTATCCAAATATCAAAATGCATTTGAAATTTTATTGAAAAGTTCGGAATTTCAATATTACAAATGTTACAAATGACGTTTCTTCCTATTTATTTGCACGCCTTCGTATAGAAGACACCTTTGGAAAATTATTGAAGAACTTGAATGACGGATAATTAAATTACGCTGTATTGAACAAAGCAACATTTTAGTAAACTGTATTAATTGAATTCGATCACTAAAGAATGAAAAGACATCCTTATAATATTTATAATTAATACTTATTCCGTTTAATGTCAAATTTGATTTTTCAACTTACCATCTCATTTGCCAAAGAAAGACTTTTAGCACTGGGAAAATGAAAAAGCTCTGAAATTTGACTTCGTGAATTACTCAATTTGTCAAATTCCGGGGTAGATATGCTTTTACCACTCACATCTGAAATTGAATCATTTCCTTCAGGTAAAACATTATCAACCAAATTTGATAGGAAAATTTGGGTTGGTTTGGCAACATTTACTTCACATTTTTCATTTAGTTTATCTGGAGAGTCTGAAAAATCGAATAAAAGTGAATATTTTGTTAGTGATAATTTTGCTGAACATTTAACGTCAAAGATAAAATATTGATATACCTCTATTTCAATATGTAAAAAAAAGTTCAATAGATGTCTCTACAAAGTATGTCAATACTAATTTTAATGGTTGGTACGCAAAGGTAATATATTTTATAATTGATTTTTGACCTAGAATTAATTATATAAATAATAGGCGAGAAAAGTAAAAATAAATGATATGGAATTTTATATAAGTTCTTGTAAAAAAGAAAAAGCTGGCGTATACATTTCTTCTACTTATATTGCATTGTAAGGGTACGTACATAAAATTAGGACATTATTGAATGTTTCAGCGCACGCACACGCGCACACGCACACGCGCACACGCACACACACACACACACACACACACACATACATACACACACACACACACACACATACGCACACACGCGCGCGGTGGTCATCGCAGGCGATTTTAATGCATGGGCCGTAAACTGGGGAAGCGCGAAAACAAATGCTCGCGGGCATGCACTTCTAGAGGCGTTTGGAGTATTGGAGCTCGAGGTAGCCAATAGAGGAACGACCCCGACCTATTCCAAGGCGGGGAAATCGTCCATAGTGGATGTTACCTTCATAGATGCCAAACTATTGACGGAGGAGCTCAACTGGAGAGTCAGCGATCGGTACACGGGCAGTGATCATCAAGCCATAACGTACCGGCTCCAGTTGATCAAAAAAGCGGTATCCACCAGGACAACGGAAAATAAGAGGAGACGGACAACAAATACCTTCGACAGAGAATCATTTCTCTACTCCCTTGAAGGAATATCAGTATCCGGAACCGCGGAGGAAAAGGCGCAGGGTCTCCCACGAGCTCTCAACACTGCATGTGATGCATCCATGGCTGTCAAGAGCAACGCAAGGGGTAGATTACCGGTTTACTGGTGGAATGAAGACATCGCAAGCCTGAGGCATAAATGTCTTACAGCCAGAAGGCGCCATCAAAGAGCAAGGAACAAGCCCAACTTCCGAGCTCTGACCGAAAAATTTGAAGAGCTAAGATCACTGCTCAAGGTCATCATCAAAGCAGCTAAGAGACAGTGCTGGCGAGACTTCTGCGAGGAAGTAGATAAGGACCCCTGGGGCCGGCCGTATAAAACGGTCATGCGCAAGATCAAGCCCAGGAGTGGCGCACCACCATCTTGCCCATTATTCCTCGACAGAGTAGTGCGACATCTGTTCCCAAGACATCGGGAGAGACCAGAACAAACAGGCCTAATGGAAAGAGACGATGAAATCGAGTTTACAGAAGTAACCCAAGCAGAACTGATAGTAGCCGCGAAGAAAATTCGAACCCGGAAAGCGCCAGGGGCGGATGGGATACCGGAAATTGTCATCAAGACGGCAGCACTGAATGCCCCGAAAATAATTCGCGATACATTTAGTGCGTACCTGCGAGAAGGACATTTTCCAAACTCGTGGAAGCTGCAAAGACTGGTGCTGCTACCCAAGGGAAATAAGCCTCTCGAGCAGCCTTCGTCCTACAGACCACTGTGCATGTTGGACATTATAGGAAAATTGCTGGAAAGAGTAATCCATGCCAGATTGGAGGCAGCTATAGCCGAAGCAGGGCTCTGTCTGGAAACCAGTTCGGCTTCAGAAAAGGCCGTTCAACCTTAGGCGCTATTGGTCGAGTTGTGGACCTGGCCAAAGATGCCATTAGCGGAGGACGGAGCGCAAGACGCATGTGCGCTGTGATCGCATTAGACATCCGAAATGCGTTCAACTCGGCAAGATGGGACATCATTATGACAGCCATGGAAGGACTGAGGGTGCCGCTGTATTTGCGTAAAGCCCTATCGAGCTACTTAAGCAACCGAATCCTGCACTATAACACCGACGATGGCACACATTCAAACAACATCACGGGAGGAGTGCCGCAGGGATCGGTGCTTGGCCCCTTGCTATGGAATGTCCTATATGACGGACTAATAAGACAGCAGTTGCCAAGGGGAATATAGATAATAGCTTTTGCCGATGATGTAGCACTAGTGGTCACGGCAAAGAGCGTTGAGGAGATAGAATATATAGGAAACGTCTCCATCGAGGTGGTGGCTCGATGGCTAAAAAGGCATGGGCTCAGTCTCGCTGCGGAAAAGACGGAAGCGGTGCTCATCTCCCGCACGAAAGCTCGGAAGTACGCCACATTCACGATGGAAAATAAGCGAGTACAGTCGACTGACACGGTGAGGTACCTGGGAGTTATACTAGATGCGCGGCTATCGTTTAAGGAACACCTCTCGAAAACAGGTGTCAAAGCCACTAACGTTGCTAGAGCGTTGGCAGGTATCACGCCAAACGTCGGGGGGGCCAAAGCAACCACGCAGAACCCTCCTATCGTCGGTCGTAAGCTCGGTAATTCTCTACGGAGCTCCTATATGGGCGGATGCGCTAAGAAATAATGCAAGCTACGGAGAGACGTGTCGAAGAGCCTGCAGAGCAGCAGCGCTACGAGTTGCCCGTGCATACCGAACTGTATCGGACATAGCATTCTCGGTAATCGCTGGAATAGCGTCTATCGACCTACTAGCATGCGACAGAGCAGAAATATACCGTGAAGGAGGTCGTAACGAAGAGAACAATACTGATAGACATGTCCACAACAAACGGTGGACGCAAAATTTAATGCGAGAATGGCAGAGAAAATGGGACAACGCAGTGAACGGTCGCTGGACTCATCGCATCATCCCGAACATTGACAAGTGGACAGGCAGGCGCCACGGACACCTCACCTTCCAACTGACACAGGTGCTCACCGGTCATGGCTGCTTCCGCATTTATCTCCAATACATCGGTGTATATGCGAGTGCCGAATGCCCAGCCTGTCCAGGCAATGACGAGAACGTAGAACATGTCTTATTTGTGTGTCCCCGCTTCGCTGAAGAGCGGATGCATTTCCGCACGGAGTGGAATAATCCAATGAGTCCCGAAGGGCTGGGAGCTTGCCTGCTCGGCTCGCCAGAGGGATGGAAAACGGTAGTGACCTTTGCCACGTCAGTGGTAAACCGGCTGACCGAAGTAAGAAAGGAGGAAGAGAGAAGACGCGACAGGTCTATCATGCATAGATAGAGCGAGGTGCCAGACTATGGGACTAAAAAGCGCTCCTAAACTACCACAGAGTAGTTGGTAGAGCGCGGTTACCCCATCCGATGCAGAGGAACGTAGGCTCTGGGGTCACCTAAGTCCATAGCATAACAAGGCGCCAGCCTATCCAAAGCGCTCCCCTGCCTTTGCGAGAGAGCAAAGGACGTTGGGTTGAGCCCAGACTCCCTCACCCGATGCAGAGGAACGTAGGTGTCGAGGTAGAGTCTGTCCAGAGGATGACCGGACGATGCTGATAGAAGAAGACGACCGGACGATGCCGTTGGAAGAAGACGTGTAAATCGATGCCGTAAGAAGAAGACGAGGCTAACATAGCCGAAGACGATGAAGATTGAAGAAAACGACACAGCCGAAAGGTAATGAAGAAGACAAGGCTAATATAGCAGAAGCCCCCCCCGCGAAGTAATGCCTAGCGGCGGTTCCCGCGGGGGATACAGGCAGGACATAGAGAGATGGGAGTTTAGTGGGTATACCATGCTTGGGGATTCCCACACAGGACGAGCCGGAAGGCCGTTACGTGCATAAAGCATTCTCCAACTCTCTTCAAAAAAAAAAAAAAAAAAAAACACACACACACACACACAGAGGACAGGAGCTGGCAGAGCACAAAACAGAAGCTGTGCTAATAACTAGCAGAAAGACAGTAGAGACAGTCACACTACATGTTGGACAGCACATTATCACCTCCCAGTCGTCAATACGATACCTGGGGGTTATGATCGATGTTCGTCTCAACTTTAAGGCGCAAGTAGGGCATGCTGCTGCCAAAGCATCATCGGTCAGGGCAGCACTCTGTAGGCTCATGCCAAACGTTGGTGGGTCCAAGCAAAGTAGGAGAGCACTGCTGACGTCAGTGATCACCTCAGTGATGACGTATGGCATCGCTATCTGGGCTGAAACATTAAGGACGGAGGAAATCCGCCAGAAACTAACGTCAATTTATCGGCTCAGTGCCCTTCGAGTGGCAAGTGCATTTCGCACGGTCTCGAAGGAAGCAGTCAAGGTTGTAGCAGGACTGATGCCAATCGAGGAACTGGCTACAGAAAGAAGACACATATACCGTCGTACACGAGACCCTAATGCGGATCGTGAACAGATTAAGGCTGAAGAGAGGCGGGCAAGTATGCTCCGATGGCAGAAAACGTGGGATCATTCCTCCAAGGGTAGATGGACACATCGCCTGATCCCTAATGTGGCTAAGTAGACCAACCGGGCACAAGGTAGCATGAACTACTATCTAACGCAGATGATCTCCGGACACGGGTGCTACCGGGCTTACTAGTACAAACACAAGTACGAGGACTCCCCGAAATGCCCTGTCTGCAGTGGATTCGACGAGGATGCCGAACATGTGTTTTTTGCATGCCCCAGGTACGAAACACAACGACGTGACCTAGAAGCGATCTTGAACGAAAGCATTATGCCCGAAACTGGTTAGAGAAGAGAAACAACGAAGAAGAAGACGAGTGGGATTACCCGTTGCAGAAGAGGTAGTGAAACCAATAAATACTAGAAGGAAGAGCTATAAAAGCTGACGCCTCTCTCACGAAGTAATGCCTCGCGGCGGTTCTGTGAGGGGTAAAAAAAGGCCAGAATGAAGAGGGTTGTTTTTTACTTGGTATGGGTTGCTAGTTGTTTATCTAGCCGGATCATTGTCACCTAGTGCGGCCAGACCGAGCCCAATGTCGTACTCATTTCGTGTGTGGGATGAGTACGTGCGTAAAGAACATTTTATTTTTCCCTCATTTAATAAATCACACACACACACACACACACACAAACACACAAACACACACACACACGCACACACGCACGCACATACACGCGCACA